CAGGGGGACGCGCGCGCGGGGCGGGAAGGTGGCTGCGAGCCCCAGCTGCGGGCACCGGGCGCCGGGGCTCTGGGCGCCGGCGGCCGGGGAGCCTCCGAAGCCTGGGGCTCCGTCGCCGCCGTAGACACGCGGGCTGTGCGCCGCGTGGGGCCTCGCAGCCTTTCCGAGGCCCCTGCTCCACCGTCCTGCCCCCGCACTGCACCCGCTGCACCGCCCTCCTCCCCTCCCTCCCACCGTTCGCCGAAGCTTCTACCGCTCTCACTCTTCTCTCAACCCTGGGGTCGTCCGGACCTCATCGCCTCTCAAGTGTCCACCTGTCCTACCGGGGCCACCCTGCATCCTGCTTCCTCTGGGGGCCCACTGGCCCTTTCCAGGCCCCATCTCAAAGGACACCGCCCAGTGGGATCAGATGAGGAACAGGTCTCCCACCTTGAGCAGCTCAGGTGGTTTTCACCAGCCTCGGAGGGCTGAGAGAGTGAGTCCCTCGCTGGGGCCACAGTGACCCGCTGACCTCCAGGACCCCGCCAAATCACCCAGTCATGCCCAGCTTGCTGTCGGAGGGCAGGGCCACATCCCTCTTCTCCGCCCTCACTCCCAGCCAGAAGGAGGACCGGGCATGGAGAAAAGGAGCTTGGATGGGTCATTTCAGAGAGGGTCCATGTCAAGAAGGAAATAAATCAGAGGAATGTGCTAGAAAGTGACCATTGTTGAGAGCAGGCCTCTCTGGGATGGTGATATTTGAGCAGGATGGGAACAACGAGGAACTTTCACAAAGGGGCTCCCCTAGGGCACTTTTTCTTGAGTGCCCCACTCACAGGGGGCAAACAGGTTCTGTGACCCCTGAATAAATCAGGACCCTGACCCCAGCCAACACCCTCCCACCCGGCTTGGCCTGATGGCCACAGAGGAGTGGCCTGCCCTGCCTCCACACTCAGCAGTCTACACAGTTGACCTGGGCTCATCATCTGGTGTGGCGCCGGATATGGGGACTCAAGCCAGGACCGAAGCAGGCAAACATCCTGCCCTCAGAGTCTGACCCAGGCGCGTGGGTCCAGGCCTCGCCCCATGCAGGCCCAAGCGGGACCCTTGCACTGGTCACTATCACCTCCCTCTCCACCCTCTCCCCGTCCCCGGCAGAGCAGACCGCTGTCTTGGGAGGTCAGCTGGGCTCTGGATGGGCTGGACGCCACGATCACTTGAAGGTGGTCCCAGCTGGTGTCCCCCTGGGTCCCAGTGCCCACTAGCGGACAAGACCGTGTGTGTCCCATGATGCTCAGACACAGATGTGTGAGAAAAGACACCTTCGCAGGGTCCCATCTGCTTTACCCACAGAAACATTTACAAGGCCGGTGAGGCCAGCAGCCAGTGTGGACAGGAGAGGCAGAGTGGCTGGTCAGAGAGGTCAGGGGCGTGACCAGTAGTCAGTTGTGCCGGCCTGAGACCCTTGGCTTTCCCCTGAGGACAGTGGGGAGCCGCCGGTGGCCCTGGGCAGAGAGACTGCGTGTCCATCCGTTCCGTAGGCCGCGAGGACGTTGTGTCTGTGCTGCTTGTTCCCATGATCCCCCAGCACCCAGAGCAGGGCCTGGCATGTGCCCACCAACAGGCGTTGGCCCTGCGTGGTGCTGGCTGGCTCCTGGCTGGTTTCTGTGCCCCTCCCCCACAAAGCTCTCCGCAATACCCTGCCTCCCTACCTCTCCAGCACCCGGGAGAGGCTTGGGGGTGGAAAGGGAGCCGAAGGGGCTGCCCCCGGGCCCTGCGGCTGCTCCCCAGAGGGCAGTGCGGGGCTCCATCCCCGGTGGGCGGTGCCACAGGACCGCGTGGGCTGGGATCTGGGCTGGGCTGGGATCCACGGCCGGCACCAGACGGAGCTGTGTCCCCACCTTACACAAAACCCTGTATAGCCTCAGCCAGGTGCAAGGGTCCCGAAGAGGGCCCCGTTCCCTGCCCCTGGCAAAGGCCAGGAGAGGCACTCCCCTGTTGGGCCAAAGGCAGTGGGCCCAGCACAGAACTACAGGGCCTAGAGGCATTTTGGTGCCCACTGACTGGGGGCCCCAAGGCAAACCTGGTGGGAACAGGTCTCCCAAGTCAGTCCAGCGGGTGTGTGTGTCCCAGAAAGCTGAACCCAGTGAAGAGTCCCGCGCGTGGTTCTGGTGTCTCTGGCTCCTAGTGGGTGGGGCCACGGTCTGGAGACTGTCCAGCCCGACCCTGGATGGACTCTAGCAGGGAGAACCAAAGCCCTGACGGGTTGGTGGGCCTGGGTGAGTCAGAGGGTGAGAGCGGTTGGAAGCCACTTCCCTTCTTTTTTTTTTAACTTAAAAAAATTTTTTTTAAATGTTTATATTTATGAGAGAGAGAGAACACACACACACACACACACACATATGTGTGAGTGGGGGAGGGGCAGAGAGAGGGGGTGACAGAGAATCCTGCACAGGCTCTGAGCTGTCAGCACAAAGCCCGATGTGGGGCTCCAACCCGCCAACTGTGAGATCATGACCTGAGCTGATGGCTGACGCTCAACCGACTGAGCCACCAGGCCTCCCGGAAGCCCCTCCCCTTGACCTCCTCTCTCAGGCCTCCCGGGTCAGCCCCTCTGGGACCTTAGGCACCTGTCTTCTCTCCCCCGCACAGCTGTCCAGCACCTGCCACAGGCCAGGCACTGCTCTGGGTGCTGAGGAAATGTAGGGGACAGCACAGGGGACTCGGGACACAGGGAGGACTCAGCAGAAACGAGGAGGAGCGAAGGGAGGAGCTCCTGAGAGCAGACTAAGGAGGTGATGGGTCAACACACTGGGCAGGAGCAGGCTGAGCGCAGCGGGTGGGGGCCGAGAGCACGCGACGGTCCCGGGGCCAGAGAGGGGCTGCCCAGCTGGGTCACTCTGCTGTGCGGCCACCGGGAGGACCTTGTTTGTCTCTGAGGGGGGCTGAGCTGCAGGGAGCACGGTTGAGGGGCAGCAGCTGCCGGAGCTGGGGGCGGAGGTTGGAGGCAGCCAGGGCTGAATGTAGACGGAGACGATGAGCCCCTCGACTCTGAGAGGTGAGGAGATCGAGAGGGAACGACAGCAAAGGAGACTGGGCAGGAGCGGCCGGGGACGGGAGAGACCAAGAAGGGACAGCCTGGAAGCCGGACGAAGACCAGCCGGAGGAGGTGGCGGCCGGCCGCGTCAGCCCCACCGCGGACCAGGTGCAGGTTGGGATTGCACACCGACCACTGGATTTGGCAATCTGACCTCGAGGAGAGCAGTTTCAGGGAGGGGCTGGGGAGTAGTTGTAAAGATCCAGTGGTGAAGACAGAGGGGTGTTGACACAGAGAAGCCAAGTAGACGGCGGGGACGGCAGGGTCCCACACACTGAGAGGGACGAACGTCTCCGTGAATGGGCAGGTGGACGGGAGGATGTGGGTCTCCCCCTCACGGCATGCACAGCCACCCAGTCCGGGGGGATTAGAGACATAAACAGTCAAGGGGAAATCCCTGAGGGGGAAGAAGGCGGAGGAGAACATCTTCGTGATCTTGGGATCACGGGTTTCACCGACCGAGATTCGTTGTTTAAGTAGGAAATACAAAAAATGAGGCCAAACCTGCAAGAGACGTTATCGAGATGAGACGACAAACTGTACACGGAGGAACACGTTCGTAAAATACGCCCCTGGTAACGGACCGATGTCCAAAATGTGTGAAGAACTCCTTTTTTCTTGACATGTATTTCTTGGAGGAGGGGGAGGGAGGGAGGGAGGGAGGGGCAGAGAGAGGGGGACAGAGGATCCCAAGTGGGGCTCTGCACTGGCAGCAAAGAGCCAGACGGTGGGGCCCAAAGTCGCAAAGCATGAGATCGGGACCTGAGCCGAAGCCGGACGCTCCACCGACCGAGCCCCCGCTCCAGGCGCCCCAGACCGTTTAAAACTCAACAACAAGAAGATGAACAACCTGTTGAACAATGGGCAAAGACCCAAACCGGGACCCCGCGGAAGAAACAAGAGTGCAAATAAACCCGTGAAAAGATGCTCACGTCAGGGGGGAAATGCACATCCCAACCACGAGATCCGACTCCACACTTGTTAGGATGGCCGAACCCCAGCCAGCGACGGCACAAAACCGAACTTACGCCGACGTTCCGTCAGCCATCACGCTCCTTGGCATCGGTTTACCCGAAGGAATTGAAGAGGTATGTCCACATGAAAGCCAGCATGTGGACGTTCATAGAAGCTGTGTTCTTAATTGCCACAACTTGGAAGCAACCGCGATGTCCAAGTAGGTGGTGAATAAACCGTGGTCCGTTCAGCGTGGAAACAGAACCAGCTACGAACCGTGAAAAGACAAGGAGGCGTCTTGAATGCACCTCACTCCGTGCAAGAAACCAACCGGGTGCCCCAGACTGTGTGAACCCCACGCTATGACGTTCTGGAAAAGGCAAACCCAAGATGGTAAGAAGTTGTCCCAGGTCAGTGGCATCTCTTCAGGCCACATCCAACCGAAATGCACCCAGCCACCAAGTCGGGGACGAGGACGCCAAAGCCTGGAGAAGCTTGTCCCCAAGGCTGTGGAAGGGACGAACGATTCGTGACAAAGTCACACGATGGGGGCTCACGTCCTTGAGAATGAACGAATTAGCATCACGCGCACCGCGAGGAACCCCTCAAACCCCACTGCACCCGTGGCCCTTCTCTCCCTCGCCCCCCACCCCTCAGTTAAAGGAGGAGGAGGGGGGGGTGCCTGGGAGGCTCAGTTGGTTGAGTGTCTGACTTCAGCTCAGGTCATGATCTCACAGTTTGTGAGTTCGAGCCCCGCATCGGGCTCTGTGCTGACAGCTCGGAGCTTCAGATTGTCTCCCTTTCTCTCTGCCCCTCCCCTGCTTGTGCTCGGTTTCTCTCTCTTTCTCAAAAATA